AGCAATAATTGATAATTGTTCCATATTAACATGATATTAATTTTATGGCGCAAATGAAATGATTTTAATTGATAAGATTAAATTTGCGGCTATTTTTCCGCTTATGCAAACTTTAATGTTAAAAAAGGCAAACAATAATAGGATATTTATTAAAATAAAATTTAATCCGAAAGAATTTATGAAATTAAATTTTTGCATAAATTGATATTTCATCATATAATACAATTAATTATTAAACTATAAATGAAATCAAATATTAATAACAGCATAAAAGTAATATAGTAAGAGGAAATTTTGAAGATAATATATACTATAAAATAAAATAAAAATAATAGATGATATCTATGAAAATCTGTGAAATTTAAATGATGGATGTCCAGTCCGAAATTTTTTAGGAAAAAGATCATGACAGTTTAAACAGTATGCTTGCTAAAAGTGTGCCTGATACACCGTTGGGACAAGCTGTGACAAATTTACATGCATCCTGGGCGCAACTAATCAGTGATTTATCAGCACGAACAGGTTATTTACCTCCGACGCTGGAGCATATTAAAGAAGTTGCAGAGTGCGCAGTTCGTCAGGTTGCTTCCATTCGAATTTCGTTCTTTGGCTCACTGCCATTTCATATTGCTTTTGTAAATCACGATTCTTTTGCTTCATATCATGTTAATTCCTTTCATTTTTATCATTCTCTCTTTGTAGTTATAGTCTTTTTTTTTCTTTTTCAGTGATTGCCACATCATGTTTATTATCATAGTTTGTGTTATTATCATGCGTTCTATTCACTAAAGAGATCTTGACTTTTTATTTGTCATTAAGTATTTTAATTTTTCAGTTGAAGGATTCGTGTCATGATTTAACTCGTGAATTTGCTCGAGTTGGTCTTGAATGGCGTTTAACGCATCCGGATGAGGCTCTTGCTGAGGTGTGTTTCCTTATCAAGAATTCTAGAATCATTTTATAAGTCATAATAGTTATAGTATAATAGCAACTATAGTAAATTTTCGAATGCAATTGAGTTTCTGTATATATTTCAGGATTTAACAGATTATGATCAGGCGATGTTACGGCAAGAATCGTTGTTGGGACGAGCTGCCAGCATTATTGAACGACGACTGAATGATTTAGCGACTGAAAAAAGTTCACAAGGATTTGAGTAGTTGTATGCTATGATTGGCCGTCAGACAGTGAAATTTATGAACAGGAAACAGATTGTTTTACAAAAGGATGATGATTGTATCATTGAAGATTCAGCAGATTACCAGCATCTATATTCATCATATAAGAACTGTTGAAGCGATTATATCCAAATGAAACTGTCAAGTACTGAAAAAATGAATAATAAAAAATGTTTATATGGAGGAAGATGTTTCCAGCTAATTGTTTCTGTGAGATGGATAGTTTGTTTTGCTGTGTAAGCGTTAACCTTTTTTTTCTTTTTGTTGTCATGCTCAATCGTGTTTTCTGTAAATAAATTGGTGAATGGTATTCAAATTTTTATCTTTAGCGGTTATGTAACCGCATTGTGCATATTTGTTCCGTTTTTTTTCTTTTTTTTTTCTCACGTTATAAACTTTTCTGGTGATGAACAGTGAGTGGTACAGTTTCATAGCATTTTTCTGCCAATATGTAGCGACATTATTTTTGTTTTTCATTCATCATTAGGAATAAGGTATTTCCTAAATGTCGCAACATCCAAAAAAAGGTGGATTCGTGTAAGTTGAGTTAGTTTAGCTTCACGATCTAAACGACTATCAAGTTTCATTTGCGTAAGCTATGTAAGGGATGTCCGTAGAAATCTGATGTTTTAGTTTACAACATGTTGATAAGGTATCAGTGAAAAGGAATATGGAAGTTTCGAAAGCGGTCGTATAGCTCGTTCTGTTGTGACAAAGATAATGAACTTTTATAAGGGGGAGGGGGGAGAAAGAATGGTGAATGAAGTAGTGTGTTTGATATAAATAAGTGTGATTATCTGGTAGGAATTCAGTACATATGAGATAGGAACCACGTGGTATTCATCAGGGATTTAATATTTGGTTGCATTTTATGTGAATTAGCATAGAGCAATTTTTGCTGGGAAAGGGATTAAAGAAGGATAGTTAGTTCTTCTTACTGCGATAAAAGATTTTGATGTTGCAGAAGGGATTGAAGGTCGGTAGAAACATCAAGACGAAAATGTGGCACGAAGCTCGTCGGCAAGAAAAATTGATACGATCACAGATGATCGATAGCGTCAAAAGGAATGAAAGGCGCAAACAGTTCTACGAGAATGTTGTAAGTATCGCATCCAGTATGATTATGAAAACTTTCATGCATTTCCATCTGAAATAATAGACAATGAATGATTCAGCATGGTCCAGGCACATGAGATATCGCCAAAATAATCCTGTGACCATATTATTATTATGTTTATTATTATTATTATTATTATTATTATTATTATTATTATTATTATTATTATTATTATTATTATTATTATTACTATTATTATTATTATTATTATT